TTCACTCAGCACCGCGCCGCCCACTGGCTCTCCACTGCCATACCGCTCCTCTCCCCGCTGTGCACTAGTCACCCGCGCCCAGCTCGGCGGGCCCTCCATCTCATGTGATTAGCAACCCCGCCTTCGCCGGTTGGGCTGGCCCGCCGATGCAGCTTTCGGTGGGACCCGCCGCTACCCTCCCACTCGGCGGGCCCTCCTTCCATGCGTTTCAAGAGGAGGAGAGGTTTATCTTCCACAGCCAATGCGCCGCGCCCGCGTTCACTCATCACCCCTCTCATAACACCGCGCCGCACCATAGCTCGTCGTGACCGGGGGACCACTCCCACTACCACTCTTCTCCCCTCTCACACGCTGTCACTCGCGTCCTCCGCGGGTGGCGGGCCCGCCTTCCCTTACATCTTTTTACCTTCAATTCCATCCTCTTTCCAACCTTTCGCTTCCATTCGCGTCCCTGCCTTTTGTTTCCCCCCTGCTAACCCTTATTTTCCCCCTTCTAGGCGCTTGCGTACCAAAAAACAACTTTTCGTTCCACCAGCTTATGCGGGTTGACGAGCTTACTTATGGATAAGGCACGTGTGGCTCTCGCTACAATGTATACTTTTGCTGGTTCTAAGGTTTTGAAGTCAGGGTGTCACTGAGGGGTGGGCCAGTCGTGAGGGGCGTTGGGGGTACATCGCCTGCGGATCTTAATTAGGTAATCAGCTTTTTAAATTCCCAAGGATTTATAACTCCCGTTTGCAACAGACCTCAACGCCAAGCACCTTGCCACACAACAAGATGCAACAAGCCAAACACAACAAGCCAAGTCAGTGGTTATTGCTGGACCCACGGTAACCCTACAACTCCTCCCTCATGACCGCTGTGGTCCGCACCGCTCTTCAGAACACTCTGGAAGTCACATCACACCCACTTCCACGGCCTGCCACTGCCTGTTTCCTTGGGCTCCACCTGCGTTTCCATCTCCACTTGCCAAAAGTACGTAGGAGCCAGATTGGGATTTTCTTAGGGAAACCCAACCTGGGAGATAGCTACATAATGTTGCCTGCTGCAGAAACAGCAGCCACCAAGATCTGCGGCTGTTCAGGGCGGGGTTGAGCTGCAGAAGCAACAGCAGCAGCAGGAGAAACCGCAGCCAAGGGAGAACGATGACCTTGACATTCGCCTGCGCCACACTCTTTTAGGGAACATACCCTCGCGCCTCTCTCAGCTCTTCCAAACCGGTCTCCTTCATTATATAAGGCATGGAGATATTTTTCAGCTTATTCCCCTGCTGGTGCAAGATGCACGCCTCCCCCCCCGAATTAACCTGTCGCACCAGCGCCTGCTCCCCTGTGCCGAGAATCGTGAAGTTGTCCCAGTTGAGTCCCCCCAGGTGCATGAACAGCGAGCTGTAGTGATCCAGTTTAATGAACGGCGCCGCCATCACCGCCGCCGCACCCCTGTGCCCGGCGCGCCTCGCCTCGTCCATGACGCGCTGCCTGGGCTTGGCGGGCAGGCGGTGGAACGGCGACATGGCGGAGTCGTACAGCATCGTGCGGTTGGTCCGCCACGCCGCTCTGCTCGCCGACTCCGCCGCCGCCGCCTGCGCGCGAACCGCCTCCTCCACGTCGCTCGGCGATTCCCACGCGGCGCGCACGGCGGCGGGGTCGGGGTTGGGCGCGCGCGGCATGTCGCGGAAGAGGTACTGCTGCGCGAGGAACGCGAGGATGAACCCGCGCTGGTCCTGCATGCAGTCGCGCACGTAGATCAGATCGATGATCTCCGCCAGCGCCCACGCGTACCCGCCATACGCTCCCGCGTTAGGAAACCGATTCACGGAGTGTCTTGGCCTGTTCGGGTTGGCTTCAAGAGGAAAGTAAGGCTTTAGCTTCGTCCCATCCGGCCAGTAGTAGATCTCCGCGCCAATAACCACCGGCGCGTTGAGCGCAAAGAATGCGTCGAGGAAGTTTTGCGGGCGGCATTTGGGGTGCGGCATGAGAAAGACGTCATCGGCGTCGGTGGTGATCACGACGCGATCGCGCGGCAGCCCCGCGACGAAGTCACGGATGGCGCGCAGGCGGCCGCCTTGGCCCGTCCACGGCTGGCGGCTTCCGATCACGGAGAAGCTAATGCCCGCCATGTGCGCGAAATCCGCGAGGCGCACCATGTTCACCCCGCATTCCGAGGAGTAGATTACCCACTCTAGCTTGCAACCCGACTGGGAGAACTTGTCGCTAGGCAGCGGATGGTTATCCCACGGATCCGCCCTCGCGTCGTACTTCACCGCGCACCCGTCAACCTGCTGCTCCGCCTCCCCGCGTTCGTGCAGGTCCCGCCCGCGCGCCATCAAAGCCTCCCCTTTGGCGACGGCGGCTTCGACCAGATTCGTGCACTTCTGCGAATGCAGGTCCGACAGCATGTTCAGCTTGAACAGGTGTCCCGCGCGCTGCGTCACGCACGAATCCCACGTGTCGCGGAACTCCTCCGCCTGCGGCGAGAGGTTGGTGGCAACCATGGTCCAGTAGCAGATGGACGTAAAGATTACGAGTGCAAATGTAGTGCATCCGAGAACGAGGCGGAGGACGATCGCGATCTTGGAGGAGCAGCACAGGCGGAAAACATCGGAGATTAAACTTGGAGTAGGCGCCATGGGAGAGGACCGCACGACTGCTGCTTGAGAAACTTGCTCTCGAAGGTAAAGGACCATGTTGACCCAATTTACCACAGGAAGCAGGCTCGATGCTACTTGCTCTAGTGAGGGGGCAGGTCTTGAAGGTATAGGCGTTGTTCTGCAGGCGTTTAGGGTTCCGCACCAATTTGACCGCGGTAGCCTTCCGTGCATTTTCTAGGCGCATTCATGCTGGTTGCGCTGCGCGGATGTTGCTGCCTCGCATAACTGTGCGGAGGCTGACGCTAGCTCCCGAGGTAGAATTAGCACCGCACTAGTTGTGCGACCATTTGCCCGGCGAAGCAACTGTCAGAACTAGCAGTAGAAAGTAAGAATGAAGAAAGGAGGAGGTTCACTAGCAAGCAGTTGCGTACATATAGGAAACCCTAGATTGGGCTGTACTCGCTATAGAGCACCCCACTGCAGGCTAGACAAATACAACATTCTGACACACCCCCATAGTCAAAGTGGGGTGTAATCAGCACAATGAGCAGGTATAGCAGGAGTTCACAATAAGAAGCAAAGCTAGAGGTAATCACAGCGGGCAAGTGAGGAGGAGGAGGGACTGTGAGAGGAGAGAAGATGAGAGACGGCGGCTGAAGCTGCAGACACACGGGCAACAGGAGCTGCTGGCACAGTGGCTACCGGGACAGTGCGCCCCGGACTACTGGAGTAACTGGCTCACGGGCTACGACGAGCTACAGGAGCAACGGACCCTCGGGCGACAGGCGCAGCAGACTCTCTGGGCTACCAGGACAGTGCGCCCCGGACTACAGGTGCTGCGGACGACAAGACAGCAGCCTCCGCTCAACCTCCTCCAACTGTCCCACACACCCCCCACACACCCACTGCTTCACTCCTAACTCCACTTGCACGTCACCCCCCTAGTACCACTCCTTCGGCTCCCACACACCCACCCCCCTCAGCGGCAGCTGCAGCACTGGGAGACGGAGGAGGAGGAGGAGCAGGGGACGACGCACAGAAACTGCACCCCCATACCCCCCACCCCCAAACCCTAATTCAGGAGAACGGGCAGCAGCAGGGGTGGGGCGCCGTCAGAAGCACGGGGCACAGCGGGCAGCGCAGGGGCAGAGAAAACAGGGCGCCCACGGGCCTGGCGCAGCCCGTACGAACCGCGTGCGGGCGGCCCGAGGCGCGCCCTGGCCTGGCGCAGTCCGTACGGGCCGCGCGCGGGCCTGGCGCTGCCCGTACGGGCCGCGCGCGGGCCTGGCGCAGCCCGTACGGGCCGCGCGCGGGCCTGGCGCAGCCCGTACGGGCCGCGCGCAGGCTGTACGGGCCGCGCGCGGGCCCTACGCAGGTCGCGCAGGCCGCGACGGGCGACGGGGGGCGACGCGCGGGTCCCCGTCGCCCGTCGCAGCGCCTCCCGGGAGCGACGCGCGGAGTGACGGGGCAGAAAGCCGCCGCGCGCCTCGGGGCGCACGGCGGGCAGAAAACCGCCGCGCGCCTCGGGGCGCACGGCGGGCAGAAAACCGCCGCACGCTCCGAGCGCGCGGCGGGATGAAAAATCCGTCGCACGCCACGGGGCGTGCAACACACAGAGTAGCAGTAGCAGCGGAAGCAGTGAGGTGGTGGGCCCACCCACAGGATCGACCCAAGGGGATCGACCTGCTCTGATACCATGTTAGAACTAGCAGTAGAAAGTAAGAATGAAGAAAGGAGGAGGTTCACTAGCAAGCAGTTGCGTACATATAGGAAACCCTAGATTGGGCTGTACTCGCTATAGAGCACCCCACTGCAGGCTAGACAAATACAACATTCTGACAGCAACAACTTCGAACCTGCAGACGGTTAAATTCGTGCGCCCCAAAAGTGGCGTTCTGCAGGCTGATGCGTTAAATTTGGCGCAAACAGGTTCGGCAGGACCTTTCTTATCACCAAACCTTGATAGTCAGAAGACCACTTATCAAAGAAGATTCTGCGGACCCAGTTTTTGGATATTTAACGCCTACAGAACAGCGCCATAAGGAATGGGTAGGAGCCCCCTTAGGTGTTATCCGCCATTTTTGCACTCCTCGGCCTCGCTGTATCGAGGTTGGGCATTTCCACCCCACTCTCAAGGTGAGCACGTGCGAACCTCCTTCTGATAGGCTGACAATGCTCGTTGACCCGGATGAGGTCTTGGAAAGCACGTCCAGCACATTGATTGGGCTGGGGAATCGCGATTCCGGGTGGTCCTCGCCCAGAATTACGAGGCGGAGTTACCCGGAAAGAGACTAGAAGGTGCTCGCATGCAAACTGTAAAGGCATCCGACAATTAAATTCGGGGAATGGGGGCTTCGGTGCATAATCGAGTCCTATCAGTCCACTGCAAGGCAGTTTTACTTAAGTGTCGTTACTGCAGCTCTTGAATGTCCACACACCACGCGCGGCAGACCTGTGGAAATGAAAACAGGGTGTTCGACTCAAACAAGCACCACACATGAGGATTTTGAGATGCCGTGACCTACACATGATGCCCGTTTGATCCACTCCCGGTTGCCTTGTGAAGGGGGCTTATAAGCTGTAATGCGCATTTCGCACAAGTTTCGTCGATTCGCAGCTAGCAAAAAAGGATTCGTCAGGTGCTTATAATTTTTCTATAAACTGTCTGTTGACATTTTGACTTCAGTCTCTTCAGTATGACTTCGGTCTGTTCTGCGCGACGTGCTTGTAACGTGCGTGCAACTGGCTGGGGAAAAAACCTCGGGTGCAGGGTTTCCATCCGATGCAGGGCAAATTCGCGTGCACGGGTTGGGCATCATGTGTACACTGGTCTATGGTTCCATGCACAGTTGTATGTACACGTGGGTATCAATTTTGGAGGGTGAAAGTCGGCGACCAATTGGAAGGCCCCAACCCGACCATGTTGGCGAATGTGTATCTGACGCATTATAGACTTTAGGTCGAAAATATGGCGAACTATTCCCACAAGTTTCTATTACATTACACATATATAGATATTTCTGATGTTAAACACATATCTATAGTGTCCTATGGATAGTCTCCAAGTCCTATATGTGCGAAATAGAGGAGCGCCACAACTCTGACATTCTGTGTGTATTATGCAGTCCCACAGTTATCAGCACAACAGCCACATGCTAGCCATGCAGAGTGTGCATAGCTATAGCACCCTCCTCTGCATCCTCTCTTCAGCCCACTTGAATTGAAGTCACACCCACTTCCACGGCTTCCCACTTCCTGCTTTCCTACACTTGCCGAACACCGCCATATGTAATAGCTACGCAATGTTGCAGCATAGTGCTGCAGAAACAGCAGCAGCAGAAATAGCAGCCGTCATTATTGGCAGCTGTTGAGCTGCAGAAGCAAAAGCAACATCAGGAGAAACCACAGCCAACAGAAAACGATGACGTTGACATTCACCTGCACCTCAATCATTTAGGAAACATACCCTCGCGCCTCTCTCAGCTCCTCCAAACCGGTCTCCTTCATTATATACGTCATGGAGATATTAGTGAGCTTATTCCCCTGCTGGTGCAAGATGCATGCCTCCCCCCCCGAATTCACCTGTCGCACCAGCGCCTGCTCCCCTGTACCCAGGATCGTGAAGTTACCCCACTTGAGCCCCCCCAGGTGCATGAACAGCGCGCTGTAGTGGTCCAGTTTAACGAATGGCGCCGCCATCACCGCTGCCGTTTCCCTGTGCCCGGCGCGCCTCGCTTCGTCCATGACGCGCTGCCTGGGCTTGGCGGGCAGGCGGTGGAACGACGACATGGCAGAGTCGAACTCCACCGTGCGGTTGTTCCGCCACGCCGCTCTGCTCGCCGACTCCGCCGCCTCCGCCTGCGCGAGAACGGCCTCCGCCACGTCGCTCGGCGATTCCCACGCGGCGCGCACGGCGGCGGGGTCGGAGTTGGGCGCGCGCGGCATGTCGCGGAAGAGGTACTGCTGCGCGAGGAACGCGAGGATGAACCCGCGCTGGTCCTGCATGCAGTCGCGCACGTAGATCAGATCGATGATCTCCGCCAGCGCCCACGCGTACCCGCCATACGCCCCCGCGTTAAGAAACCGATTCACAGACGAATTTCTTTTATGAGGAAAGAACGGCTCTAGCTTCTTCCAATCCGGCCAGCAGAAAATCTCCGCGCCGAAAACAACGGGCGCGTTGAGAGCAAAGAATGCGTCGAGGAAGTTTTGCGGGTGGCATTTGGGGTGCGGCATGAGAAAGACGTCGTCGGCGTCGGTGGTGATCACGACGCGATCGCACGGCAGCGCCGCGAGGAAGTCGCGGATGGCGCGCAAACGGCCGCCTTGGCCCGTCCAGGGCTGGTGGCTTCCGATGATCGAGAAGCTGATGCCCGCCATGTGCGCGAAATCCGCGAGGCGCACCATGTTGACCCCGCATTCCGAGGAGTAAAAAACCCACTCTAGCTTGCAACCCGACTGGGAGAACTTCTCGCTAGGCAGCGGATGGCTGTCCCACGGATCCGTCCTCGCGTCGTACTTCACCACGCACCCCTCCGCAACCTCCGTCTCCCCGCGTTTGCGCAGGTCCCGCCCGCGTGCCATCCATGCTTCCCCTTTCGCGACGGCCGCTTCAACTAAATTCGTGCACTCCTGCGAATGCAGGCCCGAGAGCATGTTTAGCTTGAACAGATGCCCCGCGCGCTGCGTCACAGACGAATCCCATGAATCCCGGAACTCCTCTGCCTGCGGCGAGAGGTTCACACCGAAGATGCTCCAGTAGCAGATATACGCAAAGACTAAGAGTGCAGAGACTACACAAACAAGAACGAGGCGAAGGAGGATTGCGGCTTTCGAGGACCCGCACAGCCGATATCATTTGGAGATCAAATTAGGCGCCATGGGAGACGAGGAGGGCAGCAAGGCTGCATGAAGTGACCTTCTTGTGATGAAACTAAGGTGGTGGTGGTTGATGGGAAACTATGCGATTAGGGTATCTTCTGTGCATACCGAGGACCTTTCAGTCGCAACAACAAAAGTGGATTGGGGGGTGGGATGGGAAATGTGATTCCACTGTTGGCTGGCTATGTAGGCTGGTGGCACATGCAGTGCGGTGCGGATCCTCTGCGAATACCCGCCAAGTCGGAATTTTTGTTCCTGTATGCTTCCACCAAAGCATTGGCTGGTTCGATAGGTTCCAGGAAAAGATCATACAGGGGCCGAACAGTGCCAGGGAGGTGATCAAACAAGGGCCAAGAGGCCCGAAACTAACCAAACCACTGCGCAATAAGGTTTTTTGCAGAAAGTTATCATTTATCGAACTTATGTCCGTTAACAGTTTGCATTTCGGCTCGCGCGTCATTTTTCATGGAAATATTTACTGATTCATCACAATTCGGCTTAGCAATACTGATTCGGCGCGCGTCGTTTAGCAAGCCAGAAACTCTTAGGGCAGCCAAGAAAACTAAAACCCCTAGGGGAACCTTGATGCATTTTCGGGATGGATCAACCCTAAAAACGGGAACCTTCGTTGTGTTTAGGGTTGATGCCTCCCTAGTCGCATCCATTTCCGAATGGGTAATATTTTTTTTTTTCGCGTTTCTGATCAGGGAGTGATATTTATCACCCATAATGATTTTGTTTTTGGACTCCCAAATTAACACAGCAATATTTACTTCCAGAAGAACGCGATGTGCGCGTAGTAGTAGACGGCGGTCGTAACCATTTTTTCAATAAGTTGGACGCGATGTTTGGTGCTGGTAGCATTTCTCTTTCAGTCACGGAACGGCTTGTTCGCCTAGCCTCTTGGGCAGCTCGGGGTCGAAATCCTACGGTCGAGATTTTCTGGGCCTAGTTCGGTTATCCCTCTGGCACCCTTCGGCCCCAGTTTGATAATTTCCCATAGGTTCCTGGTCCGGCCAGGCCCAGGCCGAACCGATAAAAATGTCGGTAGGTCGGCTGCTCTGGGAAAAAATAGGTGTGGTTTTGGATCAAACGTGACCACGTGTGTGTTGCATCATCCGACGTTAGGTTGGGAGAAATTTCTCAGCGGTTCTACGACAGTCCATCCGGGCCCTGGTGGGTTGAAATCCACCAGGGCCCCCTCCTGGTGGAACCGAGTTTCCACCAGGGCCGCACGCGGATGCAATGCCTGTCGCGACCCCCAGCTGGGAATCGCACGCGAGAGGGAGTTGCCCGCCCGCATGCAGGTCCCTAGCGAGATCCGGGCGGCGGAGTCAGCTGTGAAAATAAACGAGAAATTGGATGAGAGAAGAGGAGGGGTTCACTAGCAAACATTGGGATACATATAGCAAACCCTAAAAGGGCTGTACTCACTATAGAGTACCCCACTGCAGACTAGAGAAACATAATATTCTGACACACCCCCATAGTCAAAGTGGGGTGTAATCAGCACAACAAGTAAAGCAGAACAAGCTCAGGGTGGATCACAATGTCACCACACATTCTGAGCACAAGTACAAGAAGCAATAGTTTAAAGTTCACAAATGTAAGCAAAGCTAGAGGCTATCGCAGAGGGCAAGTGTGGAGGAGGAGGGACTATGAGAGGAGAGGAGGTAGTGGGCGGCAGCTGAAGCTTCTGGCACACGGCGCAACTGGAGCAACTGGCACACAGGCAACTGGAGCAACTGGCACACTGGCAACTGGAGCAACTGGCACACGGGCTACTGGAGTAACTGGCTCCGCGGCTAACTCTGAGCGGCAGGAGCAACGGACTCACGGGCGACTGGAGCAACGGGCTCACGGGCGACTGGCGCAACGGGCTCACGGGCGACTGGCGCAACGGTCTCACGGGCGACTGGAGCTGCGGGCTTCACGGCGGCCACCCCCTTCAACCTCCCCAAACTATCCCACCCCCATTTCACACACCCCCTACTGCACCCCTAGGTTCACTCACACCCCACCCCCTAGCACCACGCCTTTGGCTCCCACACATCCACCCCCCTCAGCGGCAGCTGCAGCAGTGGGAGACAAAGGAGGAGGAGGGGAAGGGAAACATACCATCCATCACCCCCATACCCGCCACCCCCATACCCTCCATTCCACGGCTGCACGCGCAGCAGGGAGACGAAGAAGGGGAGGGGGGGTGGGGGGAGAGCAGCAACGGGCAGCAACGGGCGGCAATGGGCAGCACAGGGAGGCGGCGGCACCGGGTCCAGGGGCGGCGTCGCGGGGTCCAGGGGCGGCTGCTCCAGGGGCCAGGGGCGGCTGCTGAGGTCCAGGGGCGGCTGCACCAGGGGCGGCTGCTCCAGGGGCCACGGGCGGCTGCTCCAGGGGCCAGAGGCGGCTGCACCAGGGGCGGCTGCTCCGACGCACGGCCCCCCTCAGGTCGCCCCTCCCGTCGCCTGTTGAGGCGACCTGAGGGGGGGGGGGGGGGGGGAGGAGTACGGGGGCCGACGCGCGGCCTCCCAGGGCGCCAGAGCAGGCGGAAGAAGGGGCGACGCGCGCCCCCCCAGGTCGCGCCCCCCCCCCCCCCCCCGCTCGCCACGCAAGGCGACGGGAAAAGGGGGGGGGGGGGCGGTGCACGGGCCCCTGGTGCGCCACGACAGGCATGAGGAGGGCGGGGCCTGGGCAGGGTCGGGGCATGGCAGGGGCAGGGCCGCGATAGGGCCGCGACAGGGTCGGGGCAGGGCCGCGACAGGTCCGGGACAGGGGCGACGCCGGGCGACGGGGCCGATACGGGGGGCCGCGACGGGGGGCCGCGACGAGGGGCCGCGACAGGGCCTTACGGGGGGCCGCGAAGGGCCGTACGAGGGGCCGCGAAGGGCCGTACGAGGGGCCGCGAAGGGCCGTACGAGGGGCCGCGAAGGGCCTGACGAGGGGCCGCGAGGGGGGCCTAACGAGGGGCCGCGAAGGGGCCTTACGAGGGGCCGCGAAGGGGCCTAACGAGGGGCCGCGAAGGGGCCTTACGAGGGGCCGCGAAGGGGCCTTACGAGGGGCCGCAAAGGGGCCTTACGAGGGGCCGCGAAGGGGGGCCTAACGAGGGGCCGCGAAGGGCCTTACGAGGGGCCGCTAAGGGCCGTTAAGGGCAGGCGCGACGCGCGCCTTGGGTAGGATAAAAAAAACTTCAGTGGTGGGCCCAAGGATCGAGACAGCTCTATACCATGTGAAAATAACGAGGAAGTGAATGAGAGAAGAGGAGGGGTTCACTAGCAAACATTGGGATACATATAGCAAACCCTAAAAGGGCTGTACTCACTATAGAGTACCCCACTGCAGACTAGAGAAACATAATATTCTGACATCAGCTGGCAGCTGGCCCTGCGCCGAGCCCCCTCCACGCCAGCGCCACGCAGCCCGGGACCACACCCGGATGTCCCCCGAAGCCCAGCCCTGGCTCGCGAATCCCCTCGCGAAACCCCTCGGGAGCCAATCACGCGGGCCCCGAGCGCGCCGAAGCGGGTCCGGCCAATCGGAGCCGTTTTTGATGGGCTTGGGGGCCGGATGGACCTAGCGAAACACTTCGCACGCCTGGCCGACCGTGTGAAGCGTCGCCTGTGCGCGCCGGCCAATCGGTGACGGTCCATACCGGATCCCTGGTTCGGAAACCCATCGCGAAATACTCTTCGCGCGTGCGAGGGGTCGCCAGGGTTCGCCCATAAATCATCCGCAATTTAGGAGAGTGTTCACCCAACGTACTGATGTTACACTCTTTTTATTACTCGCAAATAACAAACGCGATAGACATTTCACATGACAGTTCCATTAAATTTAAAATTCCCCTGGTTGTAAAACCCTCCCTCATTTTGTGTTTCTTTTTTTTACATACATTCTAGAGTGCTTTGTTCTCCGTGCTCGTTTTTTCGAACGCGATTTACATTTCTGCACGCGTGTAGTGTATTCTTCGTTTGTGTAGAAAGTGGTAGTTTGGGATCGTAACCCTACTTTTTGGCGGACGCGACGAGGAATACACCCCGCCCGAGGTGGTAACCGTCGCCCCTTGCATGCAGACCGCGGTCGGGGTGCTACATGGCGGGTGATGGTTCCACCCGCATGCATGAACGGGAACGCCCCCCACCTCGGGATGTCTGAAGGGGCCCGCGGGTTCATCCCCTCCACGCGCAATGGCACCCCCCTGCCTGTTGCTCGCGCTGCCCCCATCCCGGATGCGTCCCGTCCCTATTAGGCCCGTGAAACCCTGTTTCACGGGCTCATTTTACCTTTCTCACTTTGCTCTCCTTCTTGTCAACCTGCTAAGTCCTCTCCGCCTACGTCTCGGTGCGAGCGATCTTCTGTGCTGTAGAGTTTGCGATCGCGTTCGCGTTTAGGCAGTGGGCGCTCGTAGGGTTTATCCGCGTGTCCGTTTCTCATCGCATCGACCGCGCTGTAGGTAATTACACGCGTTCTGCCCCCGCCATGGCCGGTCGCGAATTGAAGGCGCTGTTGAACAGTGGCGAGCAGGGCGCTACTTACACTGCTACGATCTCGATCGCGGGCGCCACTGTGGAGCTCCCCCCCGAGCAGAGAAAGTGCTTCTCCGATGATAAGCATCCTTTCACCGCGACCTCCTTCGACTTTCTCGCATGGTAGGTCTACCTTGCGATGCCAGGCTTGTTAAGGGCGCCTTTTTGGGGTCGCATCTCGTCGGCTTAAGGCTTGTTTAGGTCATCCACAGATGCTTGCATCGCGGTCGCGTAAATCGTATTCGCGTGACATTTTCGTCTGCATACAGATCCGTCCGATCCATCTATTGAGCCCTTGATTCCTCTCGCGAAACCATTGATTCCCGTCCGGGTTGTTTCCACGTTTAGCGCCACACCCCGACCGCGATGATTCTGTGTCTATTTTTCCCGTTTCCCGTGCAGCGTGGTAGTTCGGAAGTGCGTGTCCCCGTCGCTCCAGGAGGCAATTAAGGTGGTGCCCTCCAATGTTGTCGCGGACATCGTCGCTGGTCGAGAGGCCGCGCACGTGGCGTTTGACGGTTTGGTTGGATGTAAGCTGGTCGCGTTCTGCCTCTGGTCCGAGTGAGTACAGCGGGACTTGTTGTAGGCTGGTTCTGTTTTACGTACGGGTTTGCCGGTAATTGCTGATGCGTTTCGTCGTGTGTCATGTAATCATGTCAGGGAAGTGAGTGACAAGAAGGCCTCCAACGCGGGCATGTTGCTGCTATTGCGACCGGACCACCTGGGGCTTGACGCGACCTCACCCTGGAAAACCCGCTTTGTCCGCGTCTGTCACCCCACTGCTGCGGCTGAGCATCTTGCCGCGGTGGACCATATTGTCAAGTACGTATGTTGCAAAGGTGTTGTTTTTACGCTTGGTTGCTATTATACCTCCGTGTCTGAGATACGTATTTTGAACCGTGCAGGTGGTTTCGCGGTCGCGTTTGCCTATACCACGGGAGCGATTCTGTCCAGTGCGTCCGGGCAGGGCAGCTGGGCGAGCCGACGCGCCTCGTGGACCTGGTGAGTTTGTTAATGTTCGCGGTTTATATGTCGCATTTCATTTGGCCGCGTTTAACACTACATTCTGTCCACCCTGTTTCCTTTCAGGATATTTCTTCCTGGAAGCCCCCTTGCGGTCCACTCGCATGTGGGTTCGCGTTCGACAGAGTTCTCAACGACCTCGACGCGGTTGTTGGACACGACCCTGCTCCTCGCATCGCCAAGCCAATTGCCAGGACGCTGAACACATTGCGGCAGGATGCGAAACGCGCCGCCGAAGAGCTCGCGTTCAGATCCCGGTGCGGCATCGCGGACGGTCATGGGGGGGATGCTCACGGCAATGACCGTGAGAGGTCGCACGAACACCCCGCGGGATCCCGCGTGTCCGGACGCGATAACATCGCTCTCAACACAGCTCTTGCACTCGCGAACACAGGGGAGGGGGACCAGGGGAAACCGGACAACAAGGAAGAGGGCTCGAGCTCTGACCGCGACGAGGACGCCCCTGTTAACGCGCCGCAGGGCGGAGATGACAACAATGAAGAGGAGGCAGACGAGGCAGAGGGTCAGGGTCGCGGTCAAGACGAGGCAGACGAGGCAGAGGGTCAGGGTCGCGGTCAAGACGAAGAGGATGCCGCGGAGGATCACCAGCGCGGTGATCTGGAGCTGGTGGGTTCGGAAGAAATGGAGGAGGAAGAGGACAACGAAGATGATGAGGAAGAGGAGGAGGAGGTGGCGGAAATCGCAGCCAACAATGCCGGGCGGTCGGCGGTCGCGGTCGCGGTTGCAGGGAAGAGTATTTGCGGTCTTCAGGCTGTGCTGTCCCCCCGGCATGGCAGCGCGACCCCGTCGGGCGAGTTTGCGGGCAAGAGTCCGGTCTTGGGCAAGCGGAAACACTCGGAGCTGGTGAAGATGGCTCCTGAGAAGCTGGCCGCGGAGATCCTCCGTTTGAACGAGCAGCTGAAAAATCAGACGCGCAAGCTGGATGAGGTCGCGTCCGCGGTGTCCGGTGCTGAATTCGCGGTGGTGATCACGCAGAAGTACGAAGAACTCGAGGCCACGGTGGAGAAGGTGCTAACCCACGTGCAGAACACAGACCGGGTGATACGCAGGGAAGCCAAGCTGGCCGCGAAGGACAGGGCGGAGAATCGCGACATGCGGGAGGTGCTGAAACGCGCTGCGGTCCGGTTGGAAGATTGCGCGGGGAGCATGAAGGGGGTGGTTGTGGACTCCATGGAGAACGCCCAGAAGAAGCTCACGGACGAGGTCGCACGGAAGATAGACGGCGCGTCATCCAACATCGCGAGTACCGCCGAGAAAGCGATCACAACTAGTGGCGTCACGAACTCCCTCAACATCATCATCGCGATGCTTTCCAGGCGTGCAGCACCGCAACAAGTCCCCGATGGACCGCGTGGGAAGGAGGTCGCGGAGAAGGAGGCAGGGAAGATGGCCGCGGAGAAGGAGGCCGGGAAGAAGGCCACGGACAAGGAGACAGTGAAGAGGGTCGCGGACAAGGAGACAGGGAAGAGGGTCGCGGACAAGGAGGCAGGTAAGTGTGAGAGCAGCAGGGGTGGGAAGCGGCAGAAAGGGGTCGCGATCTATAGCGTCACCGACCTTCTGAAGTCCAAGGGTGGCGCGGTCGTCGAACGTGCTGCGGGGACCAACAGGGGGGCTGCTGCTGCTGCTGGACCACCGCCCGCGACCTCGGGGGTGGAAGCTGGTAAAGGCAAGGCCAAGGTCGAGGACGCCCCGCCAAACACCACCTCCACCACCACCGCCATCACCAACGCGATTGTGCCCGCGTCAGGCAACACCGCCGCGGTCGCGCCAGGACAGCCTGGACCCAGCTCTATCGCCCCTGCCATCCCCCCCTCTGCAGATGTGAAGGCGAAGAATCAGGGCCGCAGTGGTTGTAAGCCTCCTGCAGCCGCGTTGAAGTGTGAACGCGACGACGACGACGACTCGGACGCGGACGATGAGGTTGAGCTTGTGATGCAGAGGTTCTTGGGGCCAAGCGACACCAGCGGAACAAGCGGCAAGCGCAAGGGCTGTGGTATCCGCCCTCCGCCCAGGGGTGGGGAGGGGATGGTGGGCGAACTGTGGCTGGGGGGGAGACGTCGCTGGCTCGGACATCACTCTCTCCAAGAGGTGCAGTATCTGACCGTGAACGCGGTGATGTGTTACGACAAGAAGATAGACCCCGGGCTCAAGCTGACTGCGCAGCAGAAGAGTGAGTGGGCCGAGGACATCTCCGCGGCCGGGACATTGTGCACCGGGCTATTCGCCACCATGCACCTCCGCAACCTTTGCGGCAATGTTGACAGGTACGGTCATCTGATCACTCATTTGTTTTACGCGGTCACACTCGTGCCTAACCATGTTGCGTGTTACCCCATGCATGCAGGTACCACCACATGTTCAAGGCCTACCGCGACCTCACCCGCCGCGGGTCCCCGATCGGCAACGCGATAGCTTGGGCAGCCGCGGTGGGGAAGGAGGCTGCAGATGAGGAGCCCGATGTCACCGGCGCCCAAGCGGGCCTGTTCGCTGGTGCGGTCGCATGCGCCATCGCGATGGTGTGGGAGACCTGCAACGGTCTCGAACTCGAGGCTATCGCTGATGCTGGATACTCGTTCTGGGCGGCGTTCTGGCCGCCTCCCTCCTTCCCAATGAGCTCGGCCATTCGCGTAACTGCACCACGGGGTTGGGACAGGAGCGACTCTGGACTCTCGCCGATCAGCGGGTGCGTGGACTTGTACAGCTTCCATCCGTCCGACGGCTTGGTCGCGTTGACCCATGGTTTCATGATCGCGTCCCGAATTGTCTCGTCCCAAGTCGGCTGTGCGGGTTTCTTACGCGTTCCCTGGTCGGTGGGGGTTGCGGCATTGGTAGGCGCGGCCGCGGCTCCAGGAGTGTTTGCCGGACTCGGATCCGCGGTCGGCCCTGAGGTGCTCACGGTGAGACGCGACAGCTGGGCCTCCAGATCATTCACGCGTTCGTCTTTCGCGGCCAGCTCCCGATCGCGTTCCTCCAACAGACCCTCCAGCTCTTTCACCCGTTTATGAGTCGCTACCAACTCTACACCCAGCCTGGTGTTGTCCGCTTGCGAACGAGTCAGGTACTCAGTGAGGACGGTCACCTGGTTCTGCGCGTCCATTCTGGTACTGACCTCCTGCATATACAGAACGCGAACGCGATATTGTGATGGGTACTCATAGACATTACAGCCGAATTAGTAACGCGACCATACAGTACGCACCGCGGGATGGGTCAGTGTAGGTGTGTTACGCTGTACTATGGCCAGCTGATTTGCCAAGGAGACATCTGCTGCCCACCGCGCAAATTCCTCCGTCTGGCAGAGCGGGTTGTTGACCACGTACGGGTGTCGCGGCTGGTGGATGTAATACATGGCCAGGTCTTGCGCGACCGCCATCCTAGCCTCCCCATCCAGCTCCTTCAGTATGTTTAGACCCGCGGTGTCCTGCTTCTCCGCCTTGTCCTCGCTGACCATCTTCCAGTTGTAATCATGGCACTGTGCAACACAACAACGCGGTAGTTAGCGCGGTGCCAGAGGGTTATGTGGAATGATCGCGGTCATTTGATACTACTGTACGCGGCCCACACATACCTGTTTCTGTCCTTTGTCCGGTGCGGCCCAGGGGAAAATGTGCTTCCTCAATTGCTTCTCCAGCTTCTCGCTCACCGGAACAGTTGCGCGACCCAGGAAGTAGTCACCATCAACCCCTGTGAAGCCAGCCTTCAGGAGCACAGCCTCCCTCGGAATAGTTGTGAGGTAGTGCTTAGTCATCACGTCGATGAAGCGCCAACCCCCCAGTCTCGCCAGCTGATCAGAGGGCATTCCGTCCGTGGACGCGTGCTGAGCCCCACCAGCTCTCGTCGCGTGAACCACACGCGAGCATGTGATTCCCGCGTCCCCCAGAATCTTCGCCGCCCAGTCGTGATGAGTCGTGGGCGGTATCTGCCTCTCGGTGCCCGCACGAAGGGGGAAGAAGAGGTACTGGTCGTACCACGTCGAGGGTTCCGTGAAGACGAGAGGGGGGGCTATGTCCCCGTAGAGGATGGGGACCAAGTCGTACACCCAGTGCAGCCAGAGCAGCGTGGCTCCGACCGCGCACAGAGTCCAATCTATGTGTCTCACTGCCGAGATGTAGTTGAGCGAGAAGTCCTTGTTTGTCTTGCCCGTCCTGCACGCGCAGACAAAAGCGAACGCATTCCGCACTGGGTCCGTCTCGGATTTTGCGCCGAGCTTCCACATCGTCATGTCTGGAAGCTTGAGGTTTCGGATCGTGCACTCGCGGGCTAGTGTGTGATGACCCAGGACGGTCATCGTCCGGATGCAGAGGTTGCGATGCAGTGCCTGCGTGTACTGTTGCTTGGCTAGTGTGAAGCTGCTCAAGATGGCGGCCATGCTAGTCTTCCGCATCATCTTCTTGAACTCGTCCGGGTTGTACGTGTCCGCGGCCGTGCCCCGATGGCGATCCATGTGTTCCCTGCGCAACCAGTTGGACGATAGTGAGTCTGTTAGTGAACGCGGTTTCATTGGACATACGCGTTCACTGGGTTTGTATAGTTACGCGATAAACCGCTTGTACTGGTCGCGTACTTGAACGCGGACCCAGATGCGACACTCCGCAAAGTCGCGCAGCAGGTTCAGAACGGGCTTCCTGAAGATGGCCCCGTCCAGCTTGATGAGGAGGTTCAAAGCCTTGAGACGCCCCATCAGCATTGCAGGGGAGCACTGGCGTCTCTTCTTCAAGGTCTTGTCGGGCCGCTTGAGTGTGGCCATCCTGTCCGCCTGCGCGACCGTCTCGTTCGCAAGGAAGGTCACGTATTTGCGTAAGCGCCACGGATTCGTCTCAGGGCCGTGGAACCACTGCTCGTCGCCCTCCGCCATCTTCCAGTCACCACCCATGTTCTGCTCGAGCGCGGCCCCGATCTCGTCGGGGTTCGCGTTTCTCAACGAGGCCTCCTCACCGAACCTACTCGCGTCCAGTTTCGGCAGCTCGTGCACCATGAAGAGCTTGTACTCTCTGGCCCAACCGCGATACTTCTTCAGCGTGGCCTCAGAGACACCGTAGAGGATGCCCATGCACATCTCTCTTTTTGCGGCCGGGGTGTCGTCCACACCAAGCCTGTTCCAATCCGCGATGGGGACCTCCAAGTCCGTTCGCGTACCCCGCACCCGTTCGTTGTCTTCCGCCTCCTCCTCGTTGAGCGCGGACAGCGAGTTCGAAAGGTAGTTTTCGTCATCGTCATTCCAACTGTCGTCCGCATCGTCAGCGTCGTCCTCGTCATCCTCATCGCTTTGCCCCTCGCTCCCCTCCCTCGATCCGTTGCGTGCCGTGTGCGGCACGACTTCGACTCGCCGCCTCCTTATACGCGGTCTACTGACTGGCACGTTCCCGGTACCTCCGGTCGCGTTAACACCGTTACCTCTGCCGCCGTTGCCTGTCACCCCAGGCGCTCTCCGCCCGTTCGCACTACCTCCGTTCCCTCCCACACCGGTCCCACGTCCCGCGCTCGCTCTCCCACCCCTTCCTCTCGCACCTGTCCCTCTTCCCGCGTTCCCTCTCGCACCAGTCCCTCTTCCTCTTCCCGCGTTTCCCCTTGCACCAGTCCTTCTTCCTCTTCCCGCGTTTCCTCCTGCACACGCTCCACGTCCCGCGTTCCCCGCGTTCGCCTGTGGTTGCCCACCTACACCGGTCGCGTCCGCTGCGGTCGGTTGCGCGGGGGTGCGGATGTGGACGTCCGGGTTTCCCGGCAACAGTGAGTTCACGTTCCATATTGGCGGTGAATGTGCACGCGCGCTTGCATTCATCCCCGCTCCACCATTCACCTCACGCACTAATCCGCTGGTATTCGCGTTCGATAATGGGCCGTCTGTTCGCGGCTGTGTGTCCACACCGACCACTAATGGTTCTCTAGGGTCTGGCGGGGCTTGCCCCGTTGGCTGGCTTTCCGGATAGATCGCGCTGGGGAATGGGGTTGACGGGGCGACTGGAGGAGTCGCGACAAACGCGGGTGCGTGCACCGTGGGCGATGGTTGAACGCCGATGTACCCGTACCTGAATCCCACATTCGCGTACTGCGGCCCTACGAAGCCACGCACAGGCATCCCATAGAGCTGGCTTGTGGGCACGGACGGGGACGCGGTGTGTTGTCCATCAACTTGTGGTCCGGGATGAGGCGTGGATACTCCATGCGCGGTCAGATCATCCTGCTGATTTTGAAACGCGACCGTCCCAGCCGCAAACGGAATATGTGGCTGCGGTGCTAGGTGGAGCCCGTTCACCAGTTGCTGTGGGTGGAACGCGGGCATCCGCGACCCAATCACCACAGGCTGCACGTATGGGATGCTCCATGTGGGGTTGAGCGCGTGCACGCCTTGCACGGGGGCGAGAGGCGGATCGGTATTATGGATTTGCTGCGCGGTTGTGTTGCCTGTAGCATTGATGGAGTCGTGAAGTATTGGCGCCGCGACGCGATTCACGGTATGCATGCGGCGTGCGATAATGCCCCTACTCCTATTCACCGCGCGCGTCAACATGATGCGCGGTCACTACTTGTACACCCGGGTGTGACTGCGACCGCGGTGCTCGCGGACATTTGAGAGCGACACACACCTTAACCGCGACCCTGGTGTCCTGTTTTCCGTCTAAGTCCGGTGAATCCAGTGGGTCATGAGAGGGAAGAGCTTGGTGTGCAACTGGCGTGCGAAAAGCGAAAGTGTGGGCATGCACGGAGTAATGACCAGACTCCGCGTGGACGTGATTGACACGCTACCGCGATCGCGCCTCGACCAAACAGCGACAGCTGTGTGGCTCGTTCGAATTGCTGCACATGTCAGCCAGCATGGAGCCTACCAGATCGCGCCAGCTGTTTCCGAACCGAATCAAGCGGTGCGCTTACCCACCCACTCCTTGTGCGAATTTTGTTCGCGATAAGATGCGAGACAACACAACCAATAGTAGCGCGTGCGTTTTCTACCGAGTCGCGCATGCATCGGCGCGTAAGAACAAGATGGGTTCTTTCGGTTTTTGGGGGGGCGCGGAGCTTTCGGTAGAAACCTGGTGGGTTTCACTGAGCCACGCAGGGCCGCGCTAAGGCCAAACCTGGTGGGATCCTGGGTGGCCGACTTCGCCCCACGCTCCCCGTGATGTCTCCGCGCCCCGTGCATCCCAAGGCGTGGGCGGGGTTTTTCCCGAGCCGCGCCGTATGAACATCCCAGAGGGTTGGTCGCTTGCACAGTAGCGAGTAAACCAAGCGACCAACCCCTCATGTGTACCAACCAGGTTCGACTTCCAAGATTGCTTTCGTGTCTCTGCCGGCCACCGTTTGATTTTCGTGCTGTGCTCGCCATACAACAAACACAAAAATCGCCTGCGACGTCGTGCGGGCGATGTGATTCTCTTGTTTCTGACACACAATTCTGTGCATTCTCACACGCGCTGCTATGTTTGACATGCTGTAACACGCTGACACAGTAATCGTGCCAGCCAGAGGCACGCCTGTTCTACCTCAGCTTCAGACAACTTTATAGAGTGTTTCATGTGGTGTGTTAGGCCCGCTGGCCTAAATCCGCTAAAGATTAGCGGGGTCGACTAAGTCGAGGATAAACGCGGCGGAAGACTTTGGCGAAAGAGAGTGTTGGTGAAATAGGCGAAGAAGGAACTGAGTAATTAAAGAGTTGAATGAGAATTGATTGATTTGAGGGAATACAAGCAAGGTTGATATAGCATGCAAGAGCAATTGTGGGAAAGTGGGTTGTGGGACTAGGAACTAGAAGGCAAAGAAAGTAGAGTGCCACGTGGTACTAGGAAATCTAGGAAGATAAGGATAAGGGTGAGTTGGAAAGTACTGTTCAAAGTGAATAGTAAATCCCCCCTTAACACTACCCCCCTCCCAAGGAGGCGACGTCTGCGGCGCCTGCATACTGGAGGTACGCTTGGAGGCAAGCGTTGTTGGGAGACAGCGAGGACGAAGGAACCCAGTTGTCGTCTGCTGCGTCGTAACCACGCCAATGAACCAAGAAGTCGATGAAAGAGACACCCCCACGAAGACGGCGACGGTGCCTGAGGATGCACTGGATCTGGTAGTCGGGCTCGTCGGTGTCAACAGCTACCGGCAGTGGAGTGCGATCACGGCCCGAGAAGGTGGCGTTGGGATCGGTGTAAGGACGGAGAAGCGACACGTGGAATGACGGGTGCATGCGGAAATGAGCGGGAAGGCGAAGGCGGTATGCGACTGGTCATAGTGCACGCTCAATGACGAATGGACCAATGAAGCGAGGGCGAAGCTTGCTGTCCTGTGGCAGTCGGAGGTTGCAGCTATCAAGAAGAACACGGTCGCCGACTGCGAACGACACCTCACGACGACTCCGGTTGGTGGTGGTGCCATGCATGCATTTGCGAGCTCAAGGTGCTTCCTCACGTGATCGTGAACGAAGGTGAGATGCTGGTGGAAATTGTCCGCACGAGGGACTGTAGGTGTGAGATCGACACGAGTGGGGACATTGGGGTGCTGACCGTACAGTGCAAAGAACGGTGACATGCCTGTGGACGAGTGGTGCGTGTTGTTGTAGGTGAACTCGGCCATGCTCAGCTTCTTGTCCCATGCGGCTGCGTCGTGCATCGTGATGCTGCGAAGAATCTGCTCCAAGGTCTGGTTCACACTGTCAAACTATATGCTTAATGTTTAGTTAGGCTGTATAGGGGCTAGTTTTAGGGGGTACAGAATTTCCCTCGACTTTCTAGTCTTGTACCCATCTTGACCTAACACAATCATACTTGCCTAGGTATCTTAACATGGCATCTAGAGCAGGTTCTTAGGACCTAAGATTAAGGGCCCACCCGTTACCGTGTTACCAACTACCTTGCCTGCCTGTGTGCCTAGTCTCCTGACCGCGCGCGCCTCGGCTGCGCGCGCGCGTAGCTTTTTTTTTAGCGCGCGCACTGCTGCTGCCAGCCGCGTCGCGCCCCGCACGTCGCCCGCGCAGCCCGCCCTGAGCCCACGCGGCCCCACGCACGGCCCGCAGCTGCCCCGCGCATGCGCGCACAGCCCGCGCCGAGCCAGCGCAGCCCGCCCGCGCAGCCAGCGCGCAGACCGCGCACAGTCCGCGCGCAGCCCGCGCACCGCCCGCGCACCGTCCGCGCGCAGCCCGCGCACCGCCCGCATTGCGCCCTGCCAGCCCGCGAGTGGCCTGCCGCCGCGCCCTGCGCACTTCGCCGCCCGTGTGCCACGCGTCCACTCTAGCCGCGCGCCGCCCGTCTTGCACTTGCCTGCCTTGCGCCTTGTCTGCCTTGCGCCTTGCCTGCCTTGCACCTTGCCTGAGGTGCGCCTGCCTGCCTTAAGCCTGCCTGCCTTGCGTCCTGCCTGAAGTGCACCGGCCTGCCTTGCGCCTGCCTGCCTGTAGTGCGCCTGCCTGCCTTGCGCCTGCCTGTCTTGAATCAACACTGCCATCATGGCGACACTTAACGTTCTCGCATTCGAGCCTGACGGTCGCCCGATAGAATTTGCCACTTGGCTCGACGATCTGCAGCTGTTCCTCATGACGGATGCCAAAGACGGCGTTTCTCTGTTCGATCACGCGTCAGGCACTGCCCCTGCTCCTGCTGACAGTGCTACTGCTCTCGACCGCTGACAGTGGTAGACTCGCGATGCTGCTGCGCGCCTCGCTATCCGCAACCACCTGCCGATCACTGAGCGCGCGCATTTTAGTCAGCACAAGACTGCTAAGGCGCTGTACGACGCTGTAGTTGCGCGCTATTCCTCCCCAGCCACTGCAGCCGTAGGACGCCTCATCCTGCCCTACCTGTTCCCCGACCTGTCCTCGATTACCACCGCTGAGGACCTCATATCTCACCTCCGCGCTAGTGACGCCCGCTTTCGTGCTGCTCTTACTGACGAGTTCCTCGCCACGAACACCCCACCGCTGTACTTTACCTTCTACATCCTCGTCACTCGCCTCCCTGACACTCTTAGCTCGGTCAGGGACCATTTCCTCGCCAAGGACCCTACCAATATCACTCTAGCCGACTTCGAGCAGCAGCTCCTAGCAGCAGAGAAGGACATCCTCGCTGTAGGTGCTGCCCGTGGCACTCCACGCACTCCCCTCTTTGAGGGGTGCTCCCCCTCCCCTCTTGCCCCCTCCTACACCTCAGCTGCTGCTGCAGTCGACCTCCTCGGTGCTGAGAAGGTTGCAGCGGCTTCCGCTCCTAGTGGGAAGCGCGGCAGTGGCAGGGGCGGCAAGGGTGGCAGGGGTGGTGGCGGTGGCGGTGGAGGGAGCGGTGGTGGAGGCGGCGGGGGTGGTGGCGGTGGTGGGGGTGGTCGTGGGGGTGGAGGAGGTGGGTGGGGCAGCGGTGGAACCGGGAGTGGTGGAGGTGGCAGCGGAGGTAGTGGGGGAGGAGGCAGTTGTGGTGGCGGTGGAGGTGGGGGCGGGAGTGGGACCGGCCAGAAGGGGAGTTCCAGTGGGGGCCAGCAGCAGCAGCAGCAGCAGCGCCAGACCCCCTCTTCTCAGCAGCTCCATGACTGGTATGCCGGGCGTGGGGCGTCTGGGGGTCCTGGTCGCTGCCCCTATGTCATTCTCACTGGTCCCCGTAAGGGTCGCCCATGCAGCGGCTTTCACACTGAGTACCGCTGCTTCGCTAGGCTCAGCGACGCCTGGCGCGCCAAGTTTCCTGATGCTACTGAATTCCCCAACTGGGCAGATATGCTAAGGCGTGATGTACCTATCTTTGATCTTGACTATGATGCAATCCTTGCAGCCATGTATGCATTGACTGTTAGTGCTGAGGGTGACTGTTACTTGTGTGTGCCACCTGACCCCGGTATATATTGGAGTAGGCTAGAGCTCGCTCTGGTCTTTATTTTGGTGTTCTTATATTATTTCTCCATGCTTAGAGAGCGTTACGCATTCAGGTTCATTTTAGGTTCATTTTGTAGCTTTTAGTACAAACCGAACACACCCTAGGTTCAATTAGGGTTTCCAACCATCTCTCTTTTGTACCTCGACATTTCTCTTCCTAGTTCAACTTTTCGACCCTACCTAACTCTCTCGCCATCCATGGCTCCTCTCATCTTAACATGGTATTCAGAGCGTAGTCCTAAGCGTTTCATATTCATCCGCATTTCTTAGATAATCTCCGGCCCTTAGGCCGTATTCCGCGCTACTTAGCTATACGATTTTTTTTTTTTTTCCCTTTCCTCTCGTTTCTTTCCCGTCACTCTTAGCATCCGCGCGGTTCTCTTCGTTATACTCGCTCGGGTGCCCTAATCTAGTCCGAAGCGCGCCTCCCTACCGTTCAGATCATCCGTCCGCACCTTCCCTCTTCATCACGCTTCCTCCTCCTCACGTTTCGGACGGTAGCACGGCGATTTCCGCCTGTAGCGCGCTCAGCCGTCCCCTCCCCCCTCCCTGTCTCGTCGCGCGCGCATTGCGCTCCTGCCACCGCGCGCGCTAAGCACCGTCCAGCAGCGCGCGTGCCTGCCCTTCCTTGCGGTGCGCTCTGCCCTTCCTCAATCCGCCCCTTCCCTCACCCTCCTCCTCCTTCCCTCTCTCCTTTGTGCTTCCCCCAATACCTCACCTCTTCCTCCTCCTCTTTTCTCTCCCCATCTGCTGCGGCTCGTAGCTCCTTGTGGCGCGCCCTGCCCTTCCCACAATCCGCCCCTTCACCCTCCTCCTCCTCCCCTCTCTCCCACTAGTTCCCTCTCCACTATCTCACCCCTCCTCCACCTCTTTTCTCTCTTCATCTGCTGCAGCTGGTAGCTGATTGTGTTGTGTAGCTGTTGTTCCTCCACACCTTCCCTCCTCCTCAACATCCTCCTCTCAACTGCTCAACTGCACACTCTTCCCAATTCTCCCTCCTCCTCTTGTTTCTCCCTTCAGCGGCACAGCAGCAGACTTCTCCGCCGCTATCCCTCCTCCTCTGGTTTCTCCCCTCATCGGCGCAGCAGCAGACTACTTCGCCATTTTCCCTCCTCCTCTGGTTTCTCCCCTCATCGGCGCAGCAGCAGACTACTTCGCCGTTTTCCCTCCTCCTCTGGTTTCTCCCCTCATCGGCGCAGCAGCAGACTACTTCGCCATTTTCCCTCCTCCTCTGGTTTCTCCCCGCATCGGCTCGGCAGCAGACTACTCCGCCACTTTCCCTCCTCCTCTTGTTTCTCCCCTCAGCGGCTCAGCAGCAGACTACCCCGCCCTTATTCCTCCGCCTCTTATACCTCTCCCCACATCTGCTCTGCAGCTGTTTCCTCCTCCTCATGGCGACCTCTCTCGCCCTCCCCTCCCTCCCTCTGCTGGTCCTTCAGCTTGCGCCCGATGGCAGTGCAGTCAACTTCCCTAGTTGGCTGAACTGTCTTGAGCGCACGCTGTCTGGCACCCTCGTGAGTGGCTTTAACCTATGGTTTGTCACTCAGCAGAGTGGTTCTGGCGCCATTCCCACCTCTCCCTCTGGACCCACCTCTTCCTCCTCTGACCCCTATGCTGATGGCCTCCGTGCTGCCATTGCTGAAACTGAGCGGCTTGTGACCATGGCGCAAGCCACCGCCACGGCTGCTCCTGACAATGCTGCTGCCCGTGACTTAGCTCGTATTCTTGCTGAGTCCCTCGAGAGCACCCGCAAGCGCCTCACTGAGCACCTCGCTGCCCCTTCTCCTCGCTCTGCGTCTACGCCCATTTCCTCTGCTCCGTCTCACTCTGACCTTCTCGCTGACTGGCATGTTGCCAACGCACGTGCCTGTCAGGTCATCCTTGCCTGCCTCCCTCCAACTCTTCTCCCTCAGTGCTCGCACATCCGCTATGCCAAGGACCTTCTCGGCTATCTTACCGAGCGCTTCCAGTCGCAGACTCCTATCAGTGTCATTGCCCTCTTACGCGAGCTCACCTCTCTTCGTCTTGCTGACTTCACCACCATGGCGGACTACATCGCTCGTGTGCAGACGCTGTCCTCCCAACTTGCCTCTCAAAAGTTTGAACTTTCCGATCATGTGTGCGGTGCCCTCCTCCTCACAGGCCTCACTCTTGAATACAGTGTTCATGTCACTCTGTATGGTGAGCGCCCTGCCGACCAGTGGTCATTCTCTCGTGTCTCTGCCTTCCTCCTCCAGGCAGAGCTCAACCTCCGCAGCTGCCCTCCTACTGTCGCCGCTGTCACACCCGCTTCCGCCCCCCCCCCTCTCCCCACCTCCACTGTCGCCGCTGCTTCCTCTCGCCCTCGCAACACCTTTCCTCCTTGCACCTACATCATTCGCCAGGGGCCCCGCAAGGGTCAGCCCTGCGGTCGCACCAATCATCCCACCTCCTCCTGCTTCCAGAAGCTCACCGATGACTGGTTCCTGGCTGGCAACACTGGTCGCCCTCCCAATTGGCTTCAACTCTCTCGTCAGCGTCGCCAGTCTTCTGCTCAGGCGGTACTTGTGGCTGCCGACTCTGGTACCAGTGCTCAAACCTCTGCTCTCAGTGTGACTATGCCTAGTCAGGATAGCATTCTGGGGGCTTCTCCCCTTATGGACCCTCGTTTTGCCATGATGTTTGCTCCTTCTGTTAATGGCAATGATTCTCAGTATCTTCGTCCCACAGCTGCTGCTCTTTCTCTCCCTCACACTCTTGAGTTTGTTCTTGACAGTGGTGCCACTGACTCTGTTTTTTGTGACGCTGGTGTGCTTCGCTCTTTTCCCCATCCCCTCTCCATTCAAGGAGCTGGGGATACCATGACCATAACTTGCACTGCTACCTCCTCTCTTCCCTGTCCTGCCTCCCCCTCTGGTGCTATGACTGGCCTCTATGTCCCTTCTTGCCGCCACAACCTTCTCTCTCTCTCTGCTCTTCAACGTCTTTGTGTGCGAGCTATCTTTCCTGAATGTGACTCCTATTGTGATCTCTATCATCGCAACCGCCATCTTGCACGCTTTACTCTTTCCCCTATCACTCGCCTCTACACTCTTCGTGTCTCTCTCCCCCCTTCTGCCCATCATGCCTCTTCCGCTTCCGCCCCTCCCGTTCCTTCTTGCGACTGTCGTTCTCTCACTCAACCTACCCTTCTCCTCCATCATCGGCTTGGCCACCCCAATTTTCCCCTTCTTCGCAGTATGGTCTCCTCCAAGCTTCTTCATGGCCTCCCTTCCTCTCTCCCTCCCCTTCCTCCCTCTCCTGCTCCTCCATGCACCCCATGTGTCCAGGCCAAATTATCCCAGTCACCCCATCCCTCTTCTCCCTCTGCCTCTCCCCAACCCCTTGACCTTGTTCATATGGACCTCTGGGGTCCTTCACCTACTGCTTCTCGTCAGGGTCATCGCTACTTTCTGCTTTTGGTTGATGACCACTCACGATTTGCCACTGTCTATCCCCTCCGTGCCAAATCTGACGCTCCCTCCCTCATCATTTGCTGGGCTGAGCAGGCTCGTCTACGCTTTAAGCGTCCTGTCACGCGCTTCCACTCGGATGGTGGTGGCGAATTCTTTAATCATTCTCTCTCCTCTTACTGTGCCTCTCATGGCATTCGCCAGACCTCCACTCTTCCTCACTCACCAGAACAGAATGGGGTTGCCGAGCGTCGCAATCGCACCCTCATGGAAATCACTCGCTGCCTTCTCACCCATGCCTCTGCTCCCCACTCTCTTTGGAGCTATGCTCTCCTCCATGCCACTCTACTCTCTAACCTCCGCCCTCATCCTCTTCGCCCTACTACCACCCCCTTCCAGCTTTGGACTGGCCGCCAGCCCTCTCTGTTCGCCCTCTTCGGGTCTGGGGGTGTGTCGCCCATGTTCTTGTCAATCCAGCAGACCGGTCCCGTCAGGGTGGGAAGCTCGCTCCCAAGACGCAGCTCTGTGCATTCCTTGGCATCAACTCTGACTGTCCTGGCTATCTTTTCTATGCCCCTTCCTCTCACCAACTCATCCGCAGCCAGGACGTCATTTTCGATGAGACTCAATCCCCATTCCATTCCCCCCCACCCGCCCCTCCTGTCCCCTCTCTTCACTGGTCTGATTTCGATCAGCCGCCGTCTGTCCTTCCCTCCCCTCCCCCCCCCCCTCCTATCCCGCCCCTTCCCGCCCCTCCCTCTGCGCCAGCCTCTACTGCCCCCCCTTCCGACATCATCTCTGGCGCCTCCCCACCCGCCTCTTCCTCTTCGGCTCCCCTCCCTCCTCACTTCCATCTTCCTCTCCACCTCCTTCGTCTGTTCCCATTCCCCCCCCTTCCCCACGCCTTACTCGCTCCATGACTCGCGCACTTTCTAATTTTCAGCACTCTGCTCTTTTCACTCGTCTTTCTCCATCTCAGAATGTTACTCTTCTTGAAGATCGCTTTGAGGAGCTCTTCAACATTCATCCTGTTTCTCCTCTCCTGTGTGTCACCGTTGGTGACTATAGCAATTCTCCCACTCTTCTCTCTGTCGACACCGCTGCCATCCCCACCCCTCAGTCCTACTCCGAGGCTGTGTCGGGCTTTCATGCCACTGAGTGGATGGCTGCCATCATTGCTGAGTGTGAGGCATTCACCAGAACTACTTCATACATTGACTCTGTTCCCCCCCCTGGCGCCACCATTGTCAAAGGCAAATGGGTCTTCCGTGTCAAGCAGCTGCCCGGCGAACTTCCTGTCTTCAAGGCCCGCTACTGTGCCAAGGGGTTCACTCAGCGTGAAGGCATTGATTACTTTGCCACTTACTCCCCCACAGCCTGTCTCCCCACCCTTCGCCTCCTTCTTGACTTAGGTGCTCGCTGGAATTGGGAGATCCATTCTATGGACGTTTCCAATGCTTTCCTCCAGGGCGAGCTGCATGAGCGCATATTCCTTGAGCGCCCCGCTGGCTTTCCTCGCCCTTTCCCTCCAGGCACGGTTTGGGAATTGAAACGACCTGTGTATGGCCTTAAACAGGCCCCACGCGAGTGGCACGCCAAGCTCGCCTCCACCCTTCACTCTCTTGGCTTCTCTACCTCCACCTCCGACCCCAGTCTCTTCATTCGCACATCCCCCCACAGGCTTTACATCCTTGCCTATGTGGACGATTTGGTGTTGCTTGCTGAGGACTCCGCCGATCTTGCAGCTGTCAAGAAGGCCCTGCAGGCGCGTCTCCTGTGCAAGGATCTTGGCGAGCTTCGTCACTACCTCGGCATGGAGATCCGTCGTGATCGTGCTGCCCGCACCATCTCTCTCTCCCAGTCTTTCTATATCCAGTCCATCCTCCAGCGGTTTGAGATGTCGCAGGCCAAGCCGGTCTCCACCCCTCTTCCCGCTAACCATCAACTCACTGCCCCTGCCGTCCCTGCTCCCTCCTCTGAGCTGCGGCCTTATCCTGAGCTCGTTGGATCTCTCATGTATGCTATGATGTGCACTCGCCCCGACCTTGCTTACCCCCTCAGTGTTCTCTCTCGCTTTGTTGGTCTAGGCCGCCACACTGACGTGCACTGGGCGGCTGCTAAGCGCGTCCTGCGCTATCTGCGCGCCACCTCTGACCTTGCTCTCACTCTTGGTGGCTCTGTTCCTCCCGTTCTCTCCGGCTACAGTGACTCTTCCTATGCTGACTCCCGCCCTGATCGCCGCTCCTCTCAGGGCTATGGTTTCACTCTTGGCAGTGGTCTCATAAGCTGGCGCTCTACTCGCTCATCCTCTGTCTGTCTTTCCACCTGTGAGGCTGAGTTGTACGCAGGCACCTTGGCAGCTCAGGAGGCTCGCTGGCTCTCCTTTCTCCTTGCTGAGCTTGGTCACTCTCAGTCCTCTGTGACGCTCTCCTGTGACAGTGCGAGCATGATTCATCTCACTGAAAATCCTGTCTATCACGCCCGCAGCAAGCATATCGAGGTCCGTTATTTCTTTGTGCGCGAGCTGGTGCAGTCTGGTTTCTTACGTCTGCGCAAGGTGGACGCTGCTGTTGGTGCAACCCTACGGTTTGCACTCGGCTTGTTGTCCGTGTGCGTGCATGTGTGTGTGTATGGAATGGTATGAGGGCATGGGATAATATATATTTCATGCTTATAATTGTGTGTGAATGTTGAGTCATGATGTCGAGTGTGCGTGTCGAGTCAATAGCGAGTTATCGCTAGACGCGTGTTACGCGGTCGTTTGTGTCTCGCGCGCGGTCTCTATTTTGTCGTGCGCGGTTTCTATTTTGTCCTGTGTCGAACGTTCGGCGTGTCGCAGGTGTGTGCAGCAGACCCATCAAGAACTCAAGGATGAGTTTGTGATGAAGAGCCCGAGCCTTGGTGTCAAGCCTCAAGTGATTTCGAAGCTCGCCAAAAGGGTACACCTCAAGATATTGAAGATAGTTACATTACTTTGTGTAGTATAACATTTCACTTGGTGTAGGCCCTAGTGAAGGGTAGTTTCGAGACCCATCGTGGTTGGGGACAGTGTGGCACTGTTCCACATCACTGTACCTCGGCTCTTGGGGTTTGTAGGAGCTGGGAGTCATTCCCAACTCGTAACTCTTCCTATCTTGTGTTCTAAGACTATAGTGGCTGCCATAGTACCGTTCGTTCAAACCGACGCTGTGTCGTCAATTCTTTATCAAATCGTGCAATCTAAATTGATAATTGTAGATGACGTGAAGACGCTCCAGATCCAATTTGAATCAAGTCATTTGCAGCTGTGAGCAGAACGCTATCAACGTTTGAAGCCGCTGTGCAGAAATCCGTCTGTGCTCTCTATCTTTCGTTTTAGGCACATTCAAGCCTATTGTGACTATAACAAGTGGTATCAGAGCCCCTTGGAGCAGTTTCGACAATTTCTGGACCTGAGGAAAGGGGTGGCAAAGGTGCTGGTGGCAGTGGAGAAGCTCAAGCTCAAGGCCAACCCCGTGATTCAGCCATGGCGCCCATGCAACCAAGTCTTGGCCCACCTAGGGATGAGCCTAGGGTGTTTGGGCTTGACAAGTTCAACGGTGACAACTTTGCTGAATGGTCCTTCAAGATGGAGAACATCTTTGACCACTATGACCTGCTGGAGGTGATGGAAGGAACGGAGAAGCGCCCCGAGAACGACCCGGAGAAGAGCCCGTGGGTGCGGAAGAGCGCACAAGGCTATCTCTTACTTGGGCAAGCGTTGGGGAGCAGTCAGATCCGTCACATCAAGCCATTCCAGCGTGAACCAGAGAAAGGACCAAAGGCATGGGCTGCTCTCAAGGGTGTACATGCTCCTGCAACAGCGGCGGTAGCGGTGGTGTTGGAACGGCAAATGGCGGCACTACGAATTGAAGAAAACGAAGCGGTTGAAGAAGGGGTGCAGAAATTCTTCGACTTGTTGACGCGGCTTGAGGGAGCTGATTTGAACTACAGTGAGCTCCAAAAGAAGACCAAGTTGCTGGCCTTACTCCCAGAGTCATGGTCCTCGCTCATCATCAACCTTAATCGCGACTTGCCCCGCCTCTCGCTTGAAGACGTGAAGCGAGCTATCCTTCAAGAGGATTTCCGCCGCCGTGAGTTGGCGAGTGCGGATGGCGCTGGGGCAGCGAGCATCGGCCGTGGATATGGTCGAGGAAGAGGCAGAGGACGAGGGGGAGGAAGGTTTGGTGGCAGCAACTTCGGCGGAGGCCGCAGGAGTGGCGGTTACGGCAGCGACGACAAGAGCTACGGACGCGGTCGCGGCCGATTCGACGGCGAGTGTCACTATTGCCATAAGAGCGGACACATGTGGCGCGACTGCTACAAACTCCCTGATGGTTGGACCCCTGCTCAAGGCCAAGAGGGTAGAGGAGCAGGAGGAGGGAGAGGACGAGG